CATCAAATAAGTTTCCTCCATTAAAAGTACCATTGAAGGGCCGGGGATTTAGTTCAGTGGTTCCGGTGCCTGCCTTGCAAGTGCAAGGTCCTGAGTTTGATCCCCGGTACCAAAAAAAATCCCCCAAAAAACCATATTCTAAAAAGTACCATTGAAAAGGAAAATACATATGCATAATAGATCCTAGACACCCTTCCCTCGTGCTAATAAATCAGTACATCCATGGACTTAAACCAATGCTGTGCTTCAACATTGTATTTGCATTGAATTATGTAATGTTTTCAGCTCTTAGAACAGCAACAGGTTTCTTTGGTTTTGTTTTTGTATTTTCCAGTACCAGGGATCAAACTTAGGGCCTTGCACTTGCCAGGCAGGCTCAGGACCACTGAAGCAACAGGTTTTTGTGGGGGTTTTTTGGTGTTTTTTTTTTTTGGTACCGGAGATCGAACTCGGGCCCTTGCGCTTGCGCAGCTGACGGTGAAACCACTAAGCTAAATCCCCAGCCCAGCAACAGGTTTTTAATAACATTTGCACAGTGCCTGATAAAGATCCTTAGTATAGAGTAAGTATTTTTATAAGCACCTGACATTACCTTCTCTAGCCTCAATCTTTAAAATGGAGATAATAATTTTACCTACTTCAAAGGGTTGTTGTGAGAATTATATGAGCTGGGGCTCGTCTGCTCTGTGCAGATGCTGGGGCGGTGTGTGATGCTAACATTCTAAAGTCTGACTGTGTCAATACCTTGCTTGTGATATTGTTGAGTCTCTGTGCATTGAAATACACTGGGTAAAGGGGACACAGGATAGGGGATCTGGGTTATTTCTTACACCTGGATATAAAACTACAATGATCTCAAAAGTTGGTTTTTTTTAATGCCCTTTGGCATTCAGAGTGTGCAGGGTCAGACCTTTCACCTAGGGAAAACTTGGCCCCTGGTGAGATTCCCAGCGGGGATCCTCTGTGCTGGAGAAACTGCTTCCTAACTACTTCCTTTCACTTGCAGGGTGGGGAGGGGTGTGGAGTGGGGACTCCTCCAAGGCCCTCCACGGGGACATTTTAAAGTGAATGAAAGGAGCGTGGTACCTCATTAAGTCTGAAGTGGGGGCAGAGGTTCTCTGGGAGGCCTGGCCCTGGCCTGCGTTTCCTGCTACTGTTAGCGTGTCATCGGTAATCGCAGCCCCTTCCTTCGTCTGAGTGTGGATTCTAAAGATCACTGGAAATGAAATACTTTTTTGGGTTTTTGGGTTTTTTTTTTTAACTTTTTTAAACCTATTAATCCAGGAGCAATAGTGGATGCCTGAAACTTGGGATAGTAGAGAACTTTACGTTGTGTTTTTCCCTCTACACACAGACCTATGATGAAGTGGGTTTTATGAGTTGAGATGGGGCCTCACTATGTTGCCTAGGCTGCTCTGTATTCAAGGGACCTTCCCGCCCCTGCCATCTCCTGAGTGCTAGGACTGTCACCATGCCGGGCTGCTAAAGTTTATTTTATAAACTAGGTGCAGCCAGAGCATGGTGTTGCACACCTGTTATCCCACCATTGGGGAGACTGAGGTGGGAGGATCTCCCAAGTTTGAGGTCAGTCTGGGCTACATAGTGAGACCCTATCTCAAAAGGAAAATAAATAAATAATAAGGCACAGTAAGAAATTAACATTAGTATTAAAATAGGGCAATTATAACAACATGCTATGGAGCCAGAGATTTAGTTCAACGGACCGCGCTTGCAGGTCCTGAGCTTGATCCCCAGTACCATTAAAAAAAAAAATGCTATCATAACAGCCATGTGAATGTGCCCTCTCTCTCCCTCTCTCTCTAAATATTTTATTATACTGTCTGTACTCAACAGAGCCAATCTGGCCTGTTCTTTCATGTTTCATACCCCGGTGCCTCCTTTACACTGTCCTGCATGTAGGTTCTCCTGGGCTTCTTCCAGGAGCACTCAGTGTCTCACATTCAAAGACTAACATTGGTGTTCTTTCTTCTCAATCAACATCTACGACTTGGCTAGAAACACGGCGGCAGCTTTTACATGAACAGACAAAACCTCTCTAGTAATTTTCTTATTTTTCAGTCCAAACCGATTCCTGACTCTGTGTAACCTTATTTGTTTCATGTCATTTATTCCAGGGGAGCCCTTACTAAGCCTTCACACAGGCCTAATGTGTTTTGTTCCAACACATTACTGCCAATGGAAACACATTTTCTTTCTTCTTTTTCTTCTTTTCTTTTGTTGTTTTGGGGGGTTTTTGTTTGTTTTTTGAGACAGAGTCTTGCTATGTAGTTCATGTGGGCCTTGAACTCACTATGTAGCCTAGGCTGGCCTCGAACTCACAACAATTCTCCTGCCTCAGCCTTCTGAGTGCTGGCATTGGAGGCATATGTCACTACACCCTGCTGGAAACATTCTCTATTCATATGTCTTTCACCCATACACTTAATGGCTCTTCTGTCTTCACTAAGTACCAATCATGCACTGCAGCTGTAACTTTTTGTTTTGTTTGGTTTTTGGTACCGAGATCAAACTCGG